GAGTGACCCCACATCTCTCATAATAGTAGAATAAATTTAGCGGATGGTAATTTATCCGGCTTCTACAAAAGTATATACATGTGACCATACTTATGTTAATAATTGATTATGTAACTTAACATGATCTGTGTTTGTTTAAGGAATGAGATTTATACTATATTTCGGACTAATATATTTGATATTTAGTTAGTAGAACATAAAAGTTGTATTAGAGGGAAAAAGAAAAATCTGTCCGAGGCTCTCTCAATTTCTTAGCGCACAAAAATATATCTATGCTAGCTTGATCGATGTTTCATCTCGATCCTTATGAGCTTATTCACGGAGAGCTTTTTCTAAATCATATTAAATATATTGCTTATGTACAGATATAGTTTTTTTGCAAAATTTACTCACCATGCCGCCTTGTACTTATCATTATCAAATGTCGTCTATCAAACTATTTAATCACTTTCCTTGAAGTTATTGATCACTGCCGTGTAATGCTTTCAAAGGGAAGATGATGAAATGTTTAAAGGCTAGGTGCGTTATAGCGTGGACGAGTATTTAGACCATAAGTTTTGACATCAATAAAATTATAAACAACGTAACTCATTATTATGACTTTATGAAAATTATAATGACATTCGCATGCCTATTTTTATATGGCTGATACTGCGCTTTTTTATAATTTATTAATTAAATGTACTACTTTCTTGGAAAATTATTTTTATTAAAATACATTACACGCTGTAGCTGTAGGTACTCTCGGTACCCGTTACGAATACTGTAAGTGCGTGTTGCGCTAATTTCACGACAAGCGCTGAAATACTTTGAAAACGTCATGACGACGACGTTACATTCAGCCTGAGTTATGGTTCCTGTTTTCGGAGCGTTCTCAATCGTTTGGATACGCTGTTCCCAATTGTATTATGTTGTGTAAAATATTTCTGGTGTAATATGTTTTGCAACGTTCGATGTATGATAAAATAAATAAAAATTCTCTATCTGTATATTTGTTTCATGATCATTTGAAATCTAATAGTTAAGTAAGGTGATAGAAACCTACTGTGCCTGATACACGCTGTTGACTTTTTGGGTCTAAGGCAAGTCGGTTTACTCACGATGTTTCCTTTACCGTTCCAGCGAATGTTAAATGCGCACATAGAAATAAAGTCTATTAGTGCACAGCCGGGGATCGAACCTACGACCTCGGGAATGAGAGTCGCACTCTGAAGACACTAGGCCAACACTGCTCTCCTTCTATGTATAATATTTTTTAAGCCTCGCAAACTCGCATCTATTAGTGTTCTTAGTGGAAAGATTTAAAACAACTGGAGTTCCTTTCTTTGTGGACATCAGTATACCCCATATAACTATATGATAAATCAATTTACAGAGATTTAACTCAAAAATCTTTATCACATAATAAATTTAAGTATATAATCGTCATGTTAAATTAGGCTATATGTGCGACGCATGGTCGTTTTAATTGGATAGTATAGACGAGAAAAAACACTACACCACTTCCTTCGATCAGTTTTCTTCACAAGCAATTGTGCAGATAGAAATAATAATTCCCTGGGCCTGATTTACGCACTACCGCGAGTCCACATCAACTAATACTGTCAAGTTATCATGTTGTTTGTGAACCATAGATGTAAAGTGGGATAATTTAAAAATCCACTCTTTCTGTCATCGGTTATTTTCAGAGTGGTTGATCGGACGAGTGGCTGTGAGCACGCAAACCTGTCAGTCCAGGACAGACATCGTTTCTCTTTAAATGAATTATGACACTCAATTTCATTCCATTCGCAATCTTAAGCTAATTGATATTTAAACATTCAGGTTTTAAGTTCTTATGTTATCTTTCTGTGTCCTATTAGTTACTGTTAATTTAATTACTAGGGATTATCTTAATGTATGAACGAGAATAAATAATATGATATTGAGCAGTTAAATAATTATCTAAATTATTTATTAATACGTTCTAAAAAAATACAAGGAAATATGACATCACAAATTTAACACACATACACATCAATTATATTAGAACATTAGTAAAAAAAAAAAGGAAAAAAATATGACAACAAACAAACACAAAACAAAATACTAAATATTAAATGTTATCGTTATTGTATAGACGAAAATGTCTTTTTCACAAATCTTTATTTTGTATGTTTAGCCGTACGTAAGCCGGTTTAGACTGTTATATGTTGTATGTTAAAAGCTAGATTTTTACGCTAAAATTTATTATAAATATGTCTGTGATTCAGTGTGTACACATTCATTATATTAATTAAATTTAAATCATATTATTCTACTCTTTACTTACACTGTTTTTCATAGTATATAAAGTTGACAAGAAAAAATATGCCATATGCAAATATGGGAAGGTTTATTTTAAAAAGTATAGTTTTTTTACTTTCTTCTTTCTTGGTATATCTAAAAGTGCTTCTTTGAATATTTCGGTAAGATACCACACCAGCACAAAAACTGTATAATGCCTCTGCGACCTTTGAGAGGTCACATTTCTAACCTCCACGAATTTCCTAACTTCGTACAATGTAACTGTATGTCTAACTTAATTTATGTTATACTAACTATATTACCGACTTCTTCTAGATATTTCTCCTTACAGGCATGAAAAAATGATAAGCTGATGAAAATTGAATGAATGTTTTTAGTGCTCTTATATATTTTAAGACGTCTTTTTGTAATCCCGGATCCCAATGTATGTTTTGATATAAAATATGCGTGACGGCTTTTGAGCTCATTCACTGTTGGTTATAATTTTTCCTGGTCGAATTACGTGATATAAATTTTTATTTTTGCAGCATTTCAACAAATTAACCTTACTAAATAGAAAAAAAAACTAATCTTATACTTACTCAGAAAATTATAGAACACGGAACACGTTAAACGGGCAGGATGCTCATCTGATGTTGAGCCGTGAGCCGGAGGGCTCGCGAGTACGTTGCCGCACTTTAAATAAATAAATAATCCTTTAAAGAGCATGTTTGGGTCGCTGCGCCATAGCCATTTAAAAAAGCTGAGCATTGTTTGACTCCAATGGCACTGCAAACCTGGGTTTTACCATTAGATTTCTACATCATTTTCCATAACCAACCAGGTGATAAGAATCCTGTACCCAATCTCAATTCAAATTCTGTGTCTGTGATACTGTATTTGGTTAGTTAAAAATTAATATAAAAGCCTCAAAAATAATTTAACTAAAAATATTCTACGTACCGTTACTCCGAGAGAGCGGAATCTGAAGAAACTTTGATGATTTATTTGTAAATAATTGCGTTATTTATGGCACAATAATTGCTCTAACGAATTTATGATGTGTTAATGGCGGCCGTTACTAATTGCAAGACACTAGATGCCGCCTGTGGCAATACTTGAGATTATCTTTATAGATTGAAATTAATAACCAAGATTGGGAGGCAACTTGTGCAAACTAAGTTTTTCATCTCAAATGTGGTCATAAGATTTCTTTATAGAACAGGAAGATCACCTGACGTTAAGTGGTAATTGGTTCGGAAAAACTTCAGTGGGTAGCTGGTTCCACATAGTGGAAGTGCGCGGCAAAAACTGCCTGAAAACGCTCAGTTGTAGAACGGACGAGGAACATAAAAGAATGTAAAAGAGGAACTTAGGCCTAAATCTTGATCTTAAATTACGTATATATGTACCAAGTTCTTATATTATATATCTTATATTAAATATTTAAAGCAATATCCTTGTATGCGCCATGTTTTTTTATAAATTCATTATATGCCATCCTATACTTAAAACATTTACATAGAAAATATATATTTCTATATAAAACAGCCTGGTAGTTAGTACCGGAGACCCCAGAGCTGGTGTTGTCCTCACTCAACGAATAAGTATCGCAATACAGTGAGAAAATGCTGCCAGCATTAAAGGTAGGGTAACTTTGACAAAGGGACCAAACATTTTACATTTTTTTTTAATTATTAATATTGCTATGTAGGTAACGAATATTGTAAATACTTCATATTTGTGTGTTGGCAACGAACAGAACATACATTTAATGTTAATTAATAAACACTTACTATAAATAAATTATTCCTTATCGAAATAGTAAATCAATAAATAATATTGTGGCAGATTTAAAAATTTTATCACTGCTAAGATTTTTGTTTAGAAACGTTGGAAGATTAATCGACGTCCCTCGCATACTTTATAATAATTTATTGTGATTATCGCGTTTCATTATAAGATTATAAGCGGATGGAGTATTTGTTTTAAACACATCATCAATAAAACTGTCATCTTAAAATATAAGAGCTGGTCGGTTACCTAACACCATTGTAAAGGGTCTCAAGGGAAACGAGAGAGCGTTGATGCTTCTATATATATAATAACATATGTACTAAGATACTAAGGGTTGGATTCAGAGTCATACTTAACATCGTAAGTATTACTCGAAACGCCGAGTTGTTTAATATACTAAATTCGGTCTTATACACGTCAAATCAGTGTTTAAATGTATAATAAATGCATAACTAATGTATATAATTACTAATACATTTTAATTTCTAATTGATTTGATAAGTTTTGATACAGAGGCCAATGAGACTTTTTCTTTACAACAAAAATAATATATTTCTATTAATATCTCGGGTAATAATGATTATGATTCAACTTGGGCCACGTGTAAAGACCGCGGGGGTCAAATAAATTTATATGAAGGCTCTATTACTGGTCGGCGGCGAATGTGAAAGTATTTTATTTATACAGTCTTGGATCTTGAAAGCTGTATTAGTTTATGGCGAGCGCGGACTATAGATGGGCTGCCATTACTTACATTCAGACCTAGGTTTGCGGATATAGCACTACAAAGCTTATACGTTGCTGGGTACATTTTTATAAGTAGTTCATTGATATGAGAAAAGCTTTAAAAAAATAAGATTATTAAAACAAAATAGGTGTATGATTACAAATTGAAAATAAAACAGTTAATAAATTAATAGTTTATTGCGATCCATAACTTAGCAGTAGGCCATAAGTTCGTCTTCCGAGCAAGGTTTCATGCAGCACTCCATCACGACCTGTCTTTTGGGGCGTCCAAGGCTGCGAGCCCGGCTTAGCTGCAGCCAGGGTTGAGGTAACGACGGCCAGACGGACCAGTTATCTTGATGCTCAGTTCTCTCGTGCGCCAATGGTCCATACATAGACCAGTCCCCTCGTTTGTCCTCGTTTGTTTCACACAGCATTGCCAGCGCCATAGCCAACCTCCTCCCACAGTAAACACCTTGCGCTTCAGCTGCGCTCGCCATGCTGACTACCACCAACAAAACTAGTACTTTCATGTTGCTCTCACGGTTGCTCCTCTAATGTGTCTTCCGTGGAGTTTACCCGCCTGTTTTATACCAGTTTTACCTCATAATGAGAGCTGAATATGCAAATCTTCAGGTGGGCTTGACACCGCATACTCCACTGCTTCTAATGTGAAGTGATAGGTATGTAGGCTTTAAGTGAAAGGTCAACGCCTAAGAATAGAATTAATAGGAGGTAAACAGCTCTTAGTATTAGACTTCGGAGTAGGTAACATAGTTGCAAATTAGTTGGTTGTTAGGCAAAACGCTTGAAAAAAATGGAAACTAATAACAAAAGATATCTTACGAAATGTTCTCTCAAACTGCAGGAGCTTTCGGTCGTTAGAAAGTTAAGTATTTTTAAATTTTCGTCAAACCTTTTTAAATATTTAAAAAAGTACGATATCCGAGGTTGGTAAATGTATAGATAACAATCTCGTTAGCGTTATTACGGTCTAACCCGATACGTTGCGAGTGTAATGACGCCGTAATTACAGTTTTATTCAAAACCAATTAGTTGGCGATTGAGGTTGGACGGGGATCTGTGTATTTCGATTAATTTAAGGCTATGTTGAACCAACAATTCCTCACATAATATACGCCATACATTTAAAAGATATATCTTTTTATTATATAAGATTTCCGGTGTAAAAAAAACGAAGACAGATTTGTAAATTTAAATTAAAAAAATATTCCAAATTCCATTTTTATTTGGTTAGTGTATATTGCAATACTGATGAAAAAGATTATTAATAATTTATATAATTAAAACTTTTTTTTTCAGAATTATAATTTTACATTTTGCTGTCCGCAAAAATATATTATCATGATTTTATATGTCATCAAATATATTATGTTTCTTTTATTTTTTTATCTTAATGCTTATATATTTATATACCATAAACATATTATTCCACCAATACACTGCCCATCAACGAATGAAGTAGAGGAATTTTCTTTAACTTTCCGTGTCGTAGGATCAAACAGTTTACGATCTCGTAAACTCAGCATTGTTAAGCTTTACTCCTTTCTAAAATAAAACAACAAGAGTAACATGCCGTGCATTTCTACTAAGAATAATCTTTGAATTTCCAATGGTTTAATACAGAAAATCACAAAGTTGGGCCTTCCAAAAATAAAACAGCGGCTTTCGACAGGTTTTAAATTGGTACCATGAAGGTGAGCGACTCCTGCAATTAGCTATCTTTATCCTATATTAGTATTTAGTCTCCACTTCTGAAATAATAAATATTATAGGTATGTGATATCTACAAATTGACCTTAGTGCTTAGACATTCTAGTAGCCCATAATATCCCATATATTAATTTGTGTATGGACCATTGGCGCACGAGAGAACTGAGCATCAAGATAACTGGTCCGTCTGGCCGTCGTTACCTCAACCCTGGCTGCAGCTAAGCCGGGCTCGCAGCCTTGGACACCCCAAAAGACAGGTCGTGATGGAGTGCTGCATGAAACCCTGCTCGGAAGACGAACTTATGGCCTACTGCTAAGTTATGGATCGCAATAAACTATTAATTTAATAACGGTTTTATTTTCAATTTATAATCAATCATCTATTTTGTCGTGATAATCTTATTTTTTAACGCTTTTCTCATATCAATGAACTACATATAAAAATGTACCCAGCAACGTATAAGCTTTGTAGTGCTTTATCCGCAAACCTAGGTCTGAATGTAAGTAATGGCTCCATTGTCAAAATATTTACTGGCACTACGTTTAAATCGACATAATAAAGAAATATATCATAATTTATAAAAAACAGACTCGGTAGTATGTCGTCTTCTCCTTCACGAGACTGCACTATAGAAGTGTAAACATACGATAAATTATCACACTATCAGTTTAAGATAACAATGCTATCCACTTAGCGTTATCGGGAAGATCTATTGACTCATCTCATTAGAACAATAATCAATATTGTTACAGTACTGTTATGTAAAGTATATATTAATATAGTATATAATGTACACATAAAAATTACGTGAATTTAGTGATTGTCTTTCTTTACGAGACAGGGGGCACTTAGAATTAACTTTTAATCGCCCATGGGCAACCTGAATCCGCTGCATTGCTTGATTTGTAAGTAATACATTGTGCCTATTTTAGTATAGTAGTTTATTCTAGGAGTACATTGTCTTCACATATAATTATTTAATAATTATTTAGTCTAGCAATTCAAAGGGGGAACGCTGCCAGTATCTTCGGAACCTTGCCTAAAGGGACTCCTTTTAATGATATATTTTAGTTTATGTTAAGTTTCGTTATTTATTTCAATGTATATTATTTTATTATTATTAGTTTATGTTTATAAGTTTAATTTTATTAATATTGTTACCATTACACTATATCCCAATTTAAGATTATTCATATTAAATGTATAAATATTATTTAAGTAATGTATACAAAATATTGTAAAACCTATTTTAAAAGAGTAAGTGTGGAGTTTCTTGCCCATTCTTCTTCTCTCTTCCACACACTTCCTCTTCTCCACACGAAACTACCTTTTGGAAGGGGCATCTAGAATCATCTTTTTATTTTATTTGACGTTCAAAAGTGCCATTTTAGGTGGTCTAATTGGAATAAAAGATTTGACTTTGACAGGGCGCTTGCAAGTGCTTGTCCGGACTTTAAGGATGGAGCTTTCATTCAAGTTGTATCTGTTCGGAAATAACTTTAATTCGTATGTTGAAAGATTGTTTAAATTTATTTCCTAAAAATCCATCTGTGCGAATCTGTGTTTATTGATGAACTAGTCATAAACAGATAAACTTAAAATAAGAATGAATTGTGTGTGTATGAGTTATTCAGCTTTGTGTGTAACAAATTTAACATGATGTTAGTATGGAGATATAATGTTACAAATGTGTTATATGCTCTTAACACCATCCTAATGAGATAAAGGTATAATATAATCAACACGTCTTTAAGAGAGCGGGTGTATAAAGTTAAGTGCTTTAAGTCATATGAGAACACCTCTCAGTCAAAGTAACGTTAAGCCGCTCAAAGGCCGTCAATGAAATCTATGTGAGATTTCAGATGAGATATGATTGTGTGGTGCAAGTGGAAGGCAATAAAAATAAAAAATTAACCCCAATTAGATAAAACGGAAACCTAACTAAATATCAAACTAAAAAAAATCTAAATTCAAAAATCATTTATTCATAATATAAAATGTACACTTATGAACGTCAATAAATGACATATGAAATGCTTCTAATTTTACATTTACTGCCAGTTCATCAAGGGCGTAGAACGGAAGAGAAGAACTGGCAACAAAACTCTCCGCCACTCTTTTTATTCGCCAAGTTTTTTGTTTTACACAATGTTGGTAAGGAGCTGCAACCATTACACCATGTTCCACATGATATCTTAAGAGATTAATAAAATAAATAAATTAAAAAAACACAAAGACAATTTATCATAGTTTCGGTAATGACAACAAAGTGTTTAACCACCGATGACCATACCATGTGTAATCTAAACAAACAATGGTGACAATTTTGAAGTTATACTTCTTTAGGCGCGTTATGAAAAATTTATGAGAGTGAAATTTTACGATGCGCGCGCACCGTGACACAAAATTATCACTATGGGCGCCGAGCGTGCGCGAGCGAGATGGGAATAAGACAATCTACAAGTAAAAAGAAATAGAATATGCGTGACGTTAGCAGCTATGCCAAGAATTTTGAATGACCATAATTACATTTGTAGTACCTTTTAAACAAATAAAGGGGTTTTAATTATTTTTTCAAAGAAATTTAGCAATGCTTTTTCAGAAAGACCTATTGTTACTTATTGTAGGTATGTTTCAATACCAAGTTATTAAATTGAATTAATAATATAATAAAATAATAAATAATTATTATTATTAATATTAATTAATAATTGAATTATATACTAAATATTAAATATTGTTAAATTATTAACGCTAAATATTTATTATTAATTATTTAATATTTTAAAAAAATCAAGAAAGCCAAAGAAGTATAACTTCTTACGCGCGTACATAAGTACACGCACCATTTTTTTCATACACTCTCACCTTCGAAACGAGAAAATTCCAGCGCTCCCTGTCCTGTGCCATCTCCCCCAATTTCTGGAGGCATTTCATAAGACAGACAGACTTAAATGAATGGAATGAATTTAATAGCCTGATCTTGATAGTTTTTTAGTGTATTATGTTTTTGGGTCAAATTAAAGGTTTCATCCTTCTAGTAGGTTTGTAAGTATGCAAGGGGTCGATTTGCCTAAGAATTTGGTATAAGACGTTAAAATAAGCTTTACTTAGATATGTTTGAAACATATCTTACAAAGAATTTTAAAAGTGATTTAAAAACACGAGCGTTTATAGCTTAATCTACATTCTTACATTGCTTGCGGCGCTATCATCGCCACATGATACAGTAACTTCAGCTGAGTAATTGTCGACAATTAAATAGTAACGTCTTCAAGATATATTAAACACGACGTCGTCAACAAAAAATGCCTCTTTATTTCTCCGCATATGCCGGATTTACTATCGGCCACTATTTTTCATAAAAAATGAATGCCATCAAAAACATAACTTATAATAAAAACAAATTCTTCTACCGTAAAAACCAGAGAGTGAGATCCATGTAATACCAGGTCGGTCAATTTATTCAGTCCCTAAAGGACCTTCTGTCTTAAGGTATTACGTAATTAGCTAACCTAACAACATCGTATAGTGACCATATCAACATTACAAATCTTTTATGTTTTTAATATTAGGTCCTTACATATGAAATTGGCGTATTTCGTACTGGCCACTTTAATCACGATGTTCTCCTCTTTGGTAAGGAATTCCAAATTAAAATTTGTACAGCTATTTACTCATGTATTTGTGCTTCGATGACCGTCATTCATTTGTTTTTTTTCTTCTGTTTTTTTCTGTTTGCGTCACTCATTTTACAAAATGGAAAACTTAAAGTATCGCATTATTTACGAGTACGAG